AATGTCCTACATGTATATCATGATGTCTTCTTAAAACCATTAATGTGAAAATTAGATGTCAAAATTAAGTCCAAATAAAATGAGCTAATATGTCCTGTCAGAAAAGATCTCCATGAATAGAAGTTCCCTGGTGGGATTTTGTAGTGTAGGTACTCTAGCTACCGTCTAGTCTAGTACTAAACTTTGAAAGAGCTTTTTATGAACTGACGGTGTAGAAGCAGACAGTTTGGTTATCATCATCAATTTTGTCATTATTCCTTCAAAACGCATTTGACCTTTGAAAACACTTTTTGAAACTCAAAAGACTTTTGAAAAGTTTTAAGAAAACCGAAAAATAATGTTTTAAAGAAAAATGCAAAATGCAAGGACTCATGCAAGAAAAGGTGGTCAGTAAGGGATGGAATCCTCCCCCAGACTTAAATCATACTGCCCCCAGTGTGAAATAAATCAGGCAAGGATGAGAAATAGAGTATGTAAGAATTAAAAAGATTAAGGAAAAGAAAACTTACCTGGTGTTGGTGATGGATTGGGAGGTGGTTATGGAGGTGGTAGGATGTTGAATGATGGATGGTGGTTGATGTGGAGTGGTGCTTGATCAAATGTGATTGATTTGAATAAAGGTAGATGTGGAAGTGGCCAAGGGTGGCTGGATTGTTCTTGGCCGCAGGCCAGGTTATCGTGGCCGCGACAAAACGCTTCCTGGCAGCGGCTGAACCTCCTTCGGCCGCGGTCTGCTCCTCTCCTTCCTTTTTTTGATGCATACTAAGGCATGTATAAGATAAAAGAAAAAACAAAACTTCAATAGAAAAATAAAATCAAACTAGATAAATGAGTACCTAAATGCATTGCCTCCCATCCAGCGCTTTGGTTTATAGTCCTTAGATAGACTTTGCAAAGAAAAAGACTTAGTTCAAATAAGATCTTGTCCTAAGATAAGTCCTTCTCGAAATCCTTCTGTTCTCTCTTGCAGGTTCTTCATCACTCCAGAGTTCTTTTGGTTCGAATGCTTGTGCTTTATGCTTTCCTCCTTTTCTCTTAAGTGGTGTAGCTTCATAGAAGATGTCCTTGTCGATATTTGAAAAAGAAACTCTCCGGTTGAGCCAACCATGGTGGCTCCAGCAGTTGCTAAGTGTTGTCGGGCTGTTGTTGGTTTGACAAAACACACAGGTGGGCCTTTAATGGGCCAGACGAAAATGGACATGGTGATGAGAGAACAAAGCTTGGGAAAGGTTCTTTGGCCCATTTATTATCACCTGTATTGCTTCTTATAAAGGATCAAGGGAAGACGAAGGTGAAGGGACAATACAACGAGAGAGAGTTCTAGAGAAACAAAGAAATCAAGGGTTTCAAGGGGTTTCTTGTTCTTTATTTGTTGTGTCTTTGATCCTTGTTCTTTGGGGAGTGTGTGTACCTGTAAAACCAGGGTTAACATCACTTGTTAGTGGTGTGTGTAACCTCTTTGAGATAGTGAAGCTTTGGGAGCAAGAGATCTCCCCCGAGACGTACCGGTTTGAGGCCGGGAACTCGGTTAACAAATCTTGTGTCTTTTCTTTGCTTGCAAGCCTTACACACTTATTTCCTTTACACTAAGAAAGGTCATCCAAGGATAACTGGATATGAGTCATCTTTGGTCTTTACTATGTAGAGATCGATAGGTGCTAGGCAATCTCTAATCCTTAAAGGAATGTCTCGGGCTATCCCTCTTAGAGTTGCACTTGAATCATCTGCTAAGCTAATCTTTGTCCTGGTACTTGAAATGTGCTTAATGCCAAGTCTCAAAGCAGTACTTGACATCATGTTAATGCAAGCTCCAGAATCACAAAGAATATTGATAAATCTTTCACCCCTAATGACACAAGAGATAAGAAATTGACATTTGTCTTGAACTTTGTGCAGAGTTCGAACTGGTCTACCTTCTTGGGCGTGTGTGAACAAGTATTTCATCTCTTGGATAGAATCTTTGCTATCACAGAATAAGTGGTCGATCAGGTGGTCTCTACATGCTTTGGAAAACGAAATTCCTTTGGATAGAGTCTTTGAACTACTTGATTGAACTCTTCAAGTTTTTCTTTGCTTATCTTGTTTGTGTAATCTTTGGCCTCTTGGAGATCTTTGAGATGGATCCTGTAAACAGCAGCGTCAGGTGATGATCTAGGAAAAGATAGATACATGGCTCTTCTGAAATATGTGGAGATGTTCTCCTTGGTTTCCTTGCTGTATCTGAAGAAAAATTGAAAGGAGCCTTGCTTCCAGATGTCATCGAATCTCAGATAGAGAGGAATGGACTTCACAAATTTGTTGAATTCGATCAGTCTCTCTCTAGATATGCTCTTGGTTATTGGTTCTGAGTTGTCATCAGATGAATTGTCTCCAGGGTTTGCATCTTTAACAAACAGACCATACTCTTCATCTTCTGAGAATTGTTCTTGATACTCATTCTCATAAGTGTAAACCATGTTGCAAGGTGCATAGTGTTGGGTTCCTCCTTTTCTTTTGATGCTTGTGCAGTGATTGAGAAGACACCTTGATCAAAAAACCTAGATCTTGTCACAAGGGGTCGGTCTTCAGTTGAACAGGTTTCAGGGAGAGGTTGAAACGACTAAATATTGACAAGTTTGAACATAAATGGCTAGTGGCTCCATTGTCAATTATTCAAGCACCATTAGGAAAAACAGAATATAGAGAAAACAAACAGTGATGTTGAAAATTGAAAGAGTGATTTTCAAAACAAAGATTAGATAATGGAAATACTATTGAGACAGTACTCAATGTAGATGTAGCAGCCATGACTCCATTTTCAATAATGATAGCTGTAGGATCAGGAGTAGAATTCTTTGGAATCCATACATGAGCACTGCATTGATGAATCAGAGATTGAACTTGATCATTAGTGAAGCGGCTAAGATCAAAGTTGTAGTTGATCCAAGCTGGAGCAGTAACTACATTTGCCATTTCAGCATGCATAGGATATGAAGCATGTTAGAATTGAGACTGTGGAGGAAAATTAGACCGGGGACTACTAGGAGTAGGATAATATGGTTGAAAGGATTGCTGACTAGAAGGCTTAGAAGACATCTTCTGTTTCGGAGGATATCCATGCATCTTGTAGCATTTCTGGCTAGTATGGCCACTTTTACCACAATGAGTACAACAAGGTCTCTGTTGTTGCGGTTCATAAGCAACAGCATAGGCATCATTATCAGATAAACCAATATAGCCACCATTAGCAGTCTCTCTAGTAGCTTGAAAGGCAACATTGTCTAACTTTGTAGAAGGTTTAATGCATTTCTGTCTTTCATCATGTGCCACTATATTGAAGACATCTTCAATCCAAGGAATAAGTTTGAACAGCAGGTATGCCTTCGTGTAAGTTCATAAACTTCATTTAGACCCATGAGAAACTTGGTAACACGACTGCATTGTTGAAGTGTTTTCTAGAGAGTGGCTGTGTAGCATTTGCATTTACCACAGGTACAAATCGGAAGCTCAACATAATTCTTCTACTCTTCCTAGAGAGTAACAAGTTCAGTATAATAAGTGCTAACATCTATTGCACCTTGCATAACGAGCTTAACCGTTGTTTTATCTCATAGAGCTTAGGGGCATCATTTTGCTTAAACCTAGACAAAAGATTCTCCCAAATCGTTTCAGCAGTAGGCATAAAAGTAAATTCTGACCTATCTTCTTAGACGTAGAATTTATAAGCCATGTTGCAACCATATCGTTACATCTAGACCAAGTTCTAGCATCACGATGATATGTAGGGGGGTTTAGGAATTATACCATCAATAAAACCAATTCTGTTCATTCGTATGGAACGACGCTAAGAATGAAGTTCTGAGTCGGAAGAGAGTTGATCGGAGACGAGAACGTCCAGCATGATCCGATGCATGGAGAAAGTAAGGATTCTCATATTGATCAAGAGATTGCGCCTGAATTGCAGGATTTGTAGGATTCACAGGATTGGGTGGTTGCGGTGCCATTTCCGTTAAAGAAATTGAACACAACAAAGAAAATTAAGTCGATTTGATTCAAGAAATGAGAAAAGACGTTGATTCTAGGTCAAATAAGAAAGAAAAATTGAGAACAAGAAAGTGAAAGAGAAAAGGAAAGAAACTCAATCACTGCAAAAATCAATCGGTGAATGAAAGAAACCAGCCGAGAAAGCGAAACACTCATCACTAAAGAATCAAAATCGATTTCATGAAGATAAAGAAATTTGTTGATAAATAATGGCGGAAGCTATCTCAGTTCGTTGGAGCTCTGATGCCAATATTAAATGGAAAAAATATATTTTTCATTAATGAACTAAATTCTGTACAAGATCATATATAGATATATATATATGGTTTAGTTAAAGGAAACTAAACCAATGATCTAATTTATACAGTTTGGATATAACCGACTATATATACAAACGATCAATACAAACAAAAATCGCTAGGAGGATAAGTTTGAACATATTTATATCACCACATGCTATAGACTACGCAAATATTTGAGCAAAACCTTTCTTTTTTTTAAACGATTCTTTGTGCATAATCTTCCGAGTTTACAATGTGAATGTTTGTTTCCTCTCCCTTCAAGTCAGCTCCAAAGTGGTTAAAGGCCCAAAATTGTGATATACACTTTTCACCTAACTTAATATATTCATCTTTGGTGGGAAGAAAAAAAAAATGTCTGGTTAATATGTAATATAGTTTTCTCTGTTCTTTTTTGAAAGAAGAGCGTATGAAACCGACACCTCTGAGACAAAAATAAATATTAAAAAAAGGAAAAATAAACAGAGAAAGAACAGTGCATAAAGTAACAAGAAATAGAGAGGAGTGAGAAGAGAGCGAAGTATTTCAAAAAGTTCAATTTTTCTCTTTCTTCAAGAACTTGAGTGAGAGAGAGAAAAGAGCTCTTCACCAAAAAACCTAGATTCTCACGCGCTTTCGGATCCTTCTCCTGACCCGTCTAAAGATCCGGATCCAGGTTCCTCTCGGGTCAGTCTATTTTAATTTCCCTATCTTCTTCTCCAGTTTCTCTTTCATTAGTGTCTTTGTTCTTCTGCTTCTTGGTGTTTCTTTTTTTTTTCCAAGGAAGTTATCGATACAGATTGAGAGATTACAGATCCATGTAAGAAATCCATCTCAGAAATTTGATTTTCGATTAACCAGTAACCATTTTGTTGAAACTCTTAAAAAACCCAGAATCTAATTTTTCCTTTCTTAATTAGATTTTTTATTTTAGTTAGAGCTTGTTAAGCTTAGTGTATAGTTGTAGTTTCTTATGTATGCTTCGAATTTTCTTACTCTTTAAAATTCTTTAAGGTGTCTATATAGAGTTTGCATGTCTTCTTTTTCCTTGAACACTTTAGAATAATTTGTTTTATTTTTGATAATAGATTTACACTTTGTTTTCTTGCCTTATATGTATTTATTTATATTTTCTTCGGGCTTTTTTGTCACAAAAATTATCACCAATTCAATTTTCTTTCGTCCGTTGCAAATATTTCTCCGCTGATTTCAAGTTGCTTATTTCTCATGGAAAATTGTTTTCAAGAATATTTTGGCATATTCTTGGATTCTGTGGTTCCTTTTAGATATTTTTCATATATGTTCTAGTTTAAAAACGTAATTAAAAAACTCCAAAAAAAAGATTCTAAGAAACCAAAGTAACTAAAATGCCAAAAAGTACGGTACTTTCGATTTAAACTTATCTGATGCTAATTTATCGGCATAATTATGTCATTATACTGCATAATTATGTCATTATACTGCATATATATATATATATATATATATATATATCAGATAATGAATCTTGGTATGAACCCCAAAAGTTATATCTGTCTCTGATAAGTTATGATTTATGAACAGATTGAAGAATCATAACCGTAAAAATGCTGAACGCAAGAGCAAAGTTTCGACACAAAGATCAAACAATGTCTCAGTCTGTGGATCCACAATCAGATCAGATCGGACATAACAACAACAACAACAACACCAAACCGATCACTAAACCACTGGCTCTGAGTCTTTTGATCGGTTTGAACAACAACAAGAGCATCTCAGATTCTGATTTTGTCAGGAGCCCTAAATCTCCTCTTGAATTCAGGGTATTGTCTACAATGGCTGAGCCCTTCTTCCTCAGATCATCACTCACTACTCCTCTCAATTGTTGTTGTGGTCCTGCTAAAGTTGGGTTAAGCATTGTGGATTCTCTCGGCGATGATCGAGTTTTGTCACCAGATGTCGTGTTTGGACCAGCCTTGAGGATCAAGTCTTCTGAGATTAGGGCTAAAGATCCCAAGTTGTTCCCAGAGCCTAAGTCCGTGAAGATCGAAAAGGAAAGATCTGGTGTTGTATTCGAAATCGGTGAGCCTGAGCCAATCAGGTTAAGAAACCGTTCTTTTTCAGCGAATGATTGTCCGAGAAAAAACAGAGTTCTGTCTCCTTCCAAGTTCGGTTCAGAAGGAAACTCAGACATTGCATTGTCTCTATCTGAGGATGAGATGGAGATGTCAGAGGACTACACTTGTGTCATTTCACATGGTCCTAACCCGAAAACGACTCATATTTATGGTGACCGAGTTTTAAAGTGTCACAAGTATGTGTTGAAGAACGAGAAGCATATTGAAACAGAGTTAGATTCCATGTTCCCTTCGGATAACTTCCTCAGCGTCTGTAACTTCTGCAACAAGAAACTTGAAGTTGGCAAAGACATATATATGTACAGGTGCGTGCTCTGTTTCCAATATAGGATAATTATGAGTTTCACAACTTAGAGGATTTATAGTCTTAATTCGATGCATAACAGTGTGAGGAAAATGGTTCATAGGTTAGAAATTTAAGAACTGGAAAATCTTTAGAGGTGTGATGTTTTGTTTGGTGGTCAATTGCAGAGGAGAGAAAGCATTTTGCAGCGAAGAATGTCGTTCGGAGGAGATGATGATAGACGAGGAGGACCTGGAAGATTCGTGCATAGTTATGCATGAATCTTTAAAGAAGCTCTTTTGAACCAGAAACAGCTAATAAGACGATGGCCATGGGACGAGCTTTTATAGGCCCGACCATCGTCTATTAACTACCTATTAGACTTATTATATATGTATTGACTAGTGTCTTGCCAATGGTTAGGTAACATTTTGGCACTAATCTGGTTCATCCGTCTACAAAGAGCTGTGTTTATGCGCATCTATTAGCAGCTGCAGCAGCCACGGATGGATCGGCCGGCCTTCTTTTCTATTGTAAATTCTGTAATGGGTTTTGTTTTGGTTTTGATATGGAAGTCGAAGTATACTAAGATCATAAGCGAATAAGTGTGGTAAAAGAGAGTGTTGGTTGCATGAAAGGGACTGTGTAACCACTCCATTTTCTTTTTTGAGTCATGTTTTTATGGACTTTCTATTGATAAGTTTGTATGCAGACTTGAGATTTTAATTAAATAACATATCTATAATGTTTAATTATATCTCTTGCAAACCTAATAGCAGCATCCTCGGATATGTGGAGGATTCGATCATTGCTCAGCGCCACTGAAGTTTTGGCGTCTTGATCCACATTCACACCCAAGTACAGCCATTCCCTAAAGCATGAGAAGCATAGGCTTTACGTTATACAATACAAATTTGAACAAAGTCACATCTTTAGGAACCTCATTTTGTCGATTTCATTGGCAGAGTTACTGAATTGCTTTTTTTTTTTCTTTTGTCTTCTTAGTCGAGGCGATATTGAGTCAGCTATATTTTCTTTCTATCATCAATCAGTTTTACTTCTTCTTTTTTCTTTACTAATAAGCTTTGTTTGCGTACAATCTAAGAATCTTTCTAATATGTATATCATTAAAACCTTAGTTATTTATGATTTTTACCATATGATGATTTTTTTTTCGTCTTGCTATCTTATAGGTCCTACGTGTAAAGTGGGTGAAAAAAGCATACAATTCTTTTTGGTCAGAAACATATTTAAATTCTAAGATTGAAAACCTACATAATTAAGTTATATAATTTGATTTAAAGTCAAACATTCATTTAGCTATCCAGAAATATATTTTTTTTAATTCACAATTTAAAAAGATCAAATTTGATCCATATTATTCATAAAAACAATTTTTTATAGAATAATGACATGGACATTAATTTATTAATCTACTACCAACTATGATAACTATTACAACGATAATTTTACAACAAAAAATTCTATCATTATATGAGCATCCAAGCTAAACAGTTCTACCTGCAACGATTTTACAACGGACAGTTCCACCATATGAACATTTACGCCAAACGATTCTACCTGCACTATTTTTTGGGATTCAAACCTCATATCTCTTGATGTAGAAGTATGAATGAACCCTTAGTCAACCATTGGGCCAAGAGAACTTCCACAACAACAAAATAGTTCAAGAACAAAATGTCGAATCTATATAATAGAAATTCATAATATAAATATATCTTATTTCTGTTTATAAATTAAATAGTTTATATTTTTTTATTTTCTATTTGTTTTTATGGTAATTTACTTTTTTCAATTTTTTAGTTTCTATTTTCTCTAAATAAATTTTTTTTTTCTATTTATTATTTGGAAAGTTTATATTATTACATTGACACATGTTACGATCTAAGTTATTGATAGCACATATCACGATCTCGTGAGTTATAAATATCTTATGTTCATGTTTACGTTGATTAATTCAGCTTTGTATAATAAGAATTAGTTTTTTATTACCAATGATGATCTTATACGGACAACAAGGTGGAGGTGAGTGCGGCGATTAGTTTTGTGAATGTGTGCTCCCTGAGACAAAGGATTGCTAGAGTAGGGCTCCTACCTCCCTGGTGCGTCTTCCCGAAAGGTTTTCTGATTGTGTTTCCGGTTCAGTGAGACATAGTAAGTTTCTCTTCCCACCTGATGCTTCTGATGGTTAATTTGCCTTTCGGCTTCCTGTTGATGGTCAGATCCAAACCTAGGTTAAATCGGTAGTGAGTTTTAGTAAATTCGGCATCAAATTAAAAGGTTAAATCAGGACTATGTGATGTAAAACCAGTTAAAATTGATAGAACGCCACATGACTTCTTGAATGATATATTAAAAGACAGTTAGGTATTTTGAAGTTGAAACTTGATGAGAAGCCGCCACACCAGTAAATTACTATACAGTTATTAATAAAATGCTGTTTAAATTTTACAATCTGTTAAAATATATAAACAGATAAACCAATAAACCTTTTATATTTTTTCTGTATATTTTCTAATTTTGTTTAGATTTTCAAACACATATGAATTTGAATCATTTTCAAGGATTTAAAGGTAAACAAAATGTTATTTCTTTTAAGTTAGGAAGTACTAAAAATTGGAATTTTTAGTAAAACATGGGTTTGTTACTTTTAAATCTGTTTTCTCTATTGTAAAAATATATTTTAAATTTACTATCATATCTTATATGTTATCGATTTTTTTTTTTAATTCTCTTTCAAATAAAATTTTATAATCACGAGTGGAAAGGCGTGATGATTTGCATGGTTAGTTTCTCAAGGTGTGCTCCCCTGAGCTCCCTGGGATAAATGATTACTAGAGGACGGCTCATACTCTCTGGTGCGTTTTTCCAAAGGGTTTTCTAGTGAGAATCTTCTGTGTTTTTGAGATCCTATCCACCGACAAAGTCGACAATCTTTTTAGTCATTGTGTTTCCGGTTCAGTGAGGTTTAGTAAATTCATCTTCTCACTCGATGTTTTGGATGGTTAATTTTGTTTTGGGCTTCCCATCGAGGGTCAGATCCCAAACCTATGTCAAATTGGCAGTGAGTTTTAGTAAATTCAGTGTCAACTTAAAGGATTAAATTGAGATTATGTGATCTAAAATCAGATAGAAAGTCAAACCAAACTATATGATTAATTTGACACTGGTTCATTTAAATGAATGAGACACAATTAGAACGAATTATAGAATACCACATGGCTTCTTAAACGATTTAAATGGCAGTCATGTCTTTTGCAATTGAAACAAGATGAAGAGTCATCACATCAGCAAATTACTACACGATTATTAATATAAATTTATCAGATTTTTAAATCTGTGAAAAATATATTATTGAATAAATCTATAACCCTTTTATATTAATTTCATTTGTGTATTTTTAATATTTGTTTTTGATTTTATTGATCTTATTGAGAAGAACAGAACTAATCTTCTTAACATTTCTGATTATTTAGTTTGAATAGATTTTGAGAGAAAGAAATAAACATTCAAGAACATATTTCTCATACATTACAAAACAACTTTTGTGACACATACATATATCGATCATTGCTCTGCTTTCCTTTACCAACTCCAACAGTTAACTACTATTACTAGTCTAGTTAAACACACCACTTCTTAGAACAGTAACACTAGTACTTTAGCAACTCTACTTATCAAAAGAAACACCTAGTTCTTAGTTAACTAAACTTTCTTAGTTTGGTTTGAGAAACAAAATGGGCATCACTCAACACTCCCTCTTGCCCTTTTGTCAATCAAACCAAGCTCAAATTGAAAGTGTTCAAAACTCTGACCTCCCAAGGGTTTTGTGAATATTCAGCAATTTGATCTTCTCCTTTGCAGAACCTTAGCTGAATATCTCCATTTTTCCCTGCTTCTCTTACTACATGGTACTTGATCTGAACATGTTTAGTCCTTCGGTGTTGAACATGATTTTTTCCTATTGCTATAGCGGACTGACTGTCACAGTAGATAGGGAATCCTTCTGTAGTTATGAACTTCAAGTCATCAACAAGTCTCCTTAACCAGGCTGCTTGATCTGTTGTTGCACATAATGCCATGTATTTTGCTTCTGCGGTATACTGAGCAATGATGTCTTGTTTACTTGTTTTCCATGAAAAAATTGCAGACCCAATGCTGAAAGAATACCTTGTAGTCGATTTAAAATCCTCTCTGCATCATCCCCAATCGCTATCTGAATATCCAATCAGTCTTGGCTCCTTAACTGCAGTGAACATCAATCCAAGGTTTAGAGTTCCTTGAATGTATCTAAGTACTCTTTTTACCTCCTTGAAGTGTCTAACTTTAGGTTCCTTCAAATATCTTGACAAGTAAGATGCTGAGAACATAAGATCAGGTCGAGTGGCTGTTAAGTACAGAAGACCTCCCACTAAGCTTCTATAGACTTGAGCATCCGCAAACTCTTTTTCTTCACTTTGAGTTTTGCCTTGAGGTACTAAAGGAGTTCTCATGCTAGTGCAGTCTTTCATGTTGAACTTTTCGAGCAGCTTCTTTGCATAACATTCTTGAGACAGAGAAATTCCTTCTTCTTGTTGATTTATCTCCATTCCTAGAAAGTAGTTCAATAACCCCAAATCCGACATCTCAAACTCATTCTTCATGGCTGTCTTGAAGTCTTCTATCATCTTCTCATCGTCGCATGTAACAATGAGATCATCCACATATATACAAACTACCAAAATCTTCCCATGATCATCTTTAGTGTACAAGGCGTGATCATTTTCACTCCTTTTGAAGTTCTCTCTCAAGAAGAACTCATCTATTCTGTTATACCAAACTCTTGCAACCGAAACACATGATCCTATTTTCCTTCCTCCTCAAATCCCAAAGTTTGTTTGACATATATTTCTTCTTTGAGCTTTCCATTCAAGAATGCTGACTTAACATCAAGCTGAAACAACTTCCATCTTCTCTGAGCAGCTACAGCAAGTAACACTCAAATTGTTTCATGTCTAGAGAAAGACGCAAATTTCTCTAGATAATCAACGCCATATTGTTGAGTGAATCTCCTTGAAACAAGTCTAGCTTTGTGTCTTACAAATTTTCCTTTTGCATCTTGCTTCAGCCTGTATATCCATTTCACTCTTACCACATTTTTAGTTTCAGGTCTTTCCACTAGCTCCCAAGTTTGATTCTTAACAATCATCTGTATTTCTTCCTCTCTCTCCACTCAGAATGTTTGGCAGCTTCTTCAAATAGACTTGGCTCTTCAGCAATCGTAAAGCACTCTTCCATAACTCTTGAATATTCGATGTTCGCATATGGTGCAGTAAGAAGAATATCCTCAGGAGATCGAGTTTTCTTGTTTGGTTGACTTGAGCTTCCACCAGGACTGTAGTTAACAGGACTTGAAACAGGTGATCGAGTGTCTCCTGCTTCTGTGAACTCATCACCGCTTGAATTTGAGTCATCTCCCCTTGAACTTTCATTTGTAGCATCCGATTCAGGTATGAAATCAACCTGTTTGATCACTTCCTTTCTTTTCCAGTCCCATTTGCTGTTTTCTTCAAAGATAACATCTCTAGAGATGTCTATCTTGTCTTCCTTCAGCAAATACACTCTATATCCTTTTGTTTGCGAGCTGTACCAAAGAAATATACCCTTCTTTGACTTGTCATCCCACTTCCTTCTCTATGGTATATGTACATAGCACACACACCCAAATACCTTCATGTGGCTTACTTAGGGTTTTGATCCATTCCAAGCTTCAAATGGATTTTTTCTTTCAAGAGCTCTGGTTGGAGTTCTGTTTTGTACATACGCTGCAGAGTAAACAGCTTCAGCCCAAAAAATTAAAGGTAAATCCTTGGATTTGATCATTGCTCTGGCAATTTCCACAAAGCTTCGATTTCTTCTTCTGAAACTCCATTTTGTTGTGGAGAATACACTGCTGTCAACTGCCTTTCACTACCGTTATCTTCTAAGAATCTTGTGAAATCTCCAGATAAGTATTATGTTCCCCTGTCGGTTCTGATCTTCTTGATCTTGAGGTTAACTTCATTTTCAACAAGGTTTTTGAACTTCTTGAAGGTTGGAAACACCTTTCATTTAGCTTTCAAGAAATAAACCCACACCATTCTTGTTGCATCATCAATAAAGGTAAGTAAATACCTGCTTCCACTGAATAACTTGTTTTTCATAGGCCCACATACATCGCAGTGAATGAGTTCAAGTCTCTCTTTTGCTCTGTTTTCTGCTTCTTTTGGAAAAGAATCTCTGCAGTGTTTGCTGATGATACAACTCTCACATCTTTCTCGATTTGTGTTGAACTTGGGTAAGCCAACTACCATCTCCTTTGATTGCATCATTTCTTCCTGTGTGTGCCATAGTCCTGCAATGTCTTCTTTAGCCACCATTGCAGATTCTTCGCTTGATGGCCAGATGATGTGAAAACTTTTATTCTCCATCTAAATCTCTCATATGCTTCTTCCAGAGTGATCGTAGATGAGGCAGCTTTTCTTTTGAAAGATTACTTTATACCCGTTTGTAATCATTTGTGGAACACTTAACAAGTTTTTGCCAAGTTTGGATACCAGAAAGATATCTCTTATGATCCTCTTGCCCCTCTTTGTGTTCACCTCCACATCTCCTTTCCCTTTAGAGATTAGCACAGCTCCATTTCCAACTTTTATTGGGACGTTTATACTTGTATTGATCTTGGCAAAAATCTTCTCATCAGGAATCATGTGGTTTATGCATCCACTATCGATAAGCCACATACTTCTGTCACTTGGTTTCTCATCCTTTTGGTTTACAGTAAACGTGTGTTTTGCTCCCTCTTTCTCGCTGGACTTCTTCATATCTCTTTCAACTTTTGCGTGAAGTTCCTCACGTCTTCTTTGGTTGTTTCTTTAACCAGTTTCTGCTCCCTTTCACTCGTGGGTAAGCAGCCTTCCTTCTTTTGTTTGGTTTCTCTGACCACCATCTTTCTTGTTTCTGAACCTTCTTGGTTCACAACTTCCCTTTCACTTTGACGAGGCTCCATGGATCAAGATGAGCTCTGATACCATGTTGATCTCATCTTGATCTTATTGAGAAGAACATAACTAATCTTCTTAACATTTCTGATTATTTAGTTTGAATAGATTTTGAGAGAAAGAAATAAACATTCAAGAACATATTTCTCATAAATTACAAAACAGCTTTTGTTACACATACATATATCGATCATTGCTCTGCTTTCCTTTACCAACTCCAACAGTTAACTACTATTACTAGTCTAGTTAAACACACCACTTCTTAGAACAGTAACACTAGTACTTTAGCAACTCTACTTATCAAAAGAAACACCTACTTCTTAGTTAACTAAACTCTCTTAGTTTGGTTTGAGGAACAAAATGGGCATCACTCAACAATTTTCAAACACATACTAGATTTTACCCCAAAATTTGTAATGTAATTTATGTTTTCAATATATATATATAATTTTTAATAAGTGTCAAAGATTTATTTTTGTGTTTAGATATAATTTGGTTTTTTAATTTTTTTTTCTAGTATTATTATGACCACGATAATAAAAACATAATTCCAATCCGGTCATTCTAATAATCAAAAAACGACATTATTATAAAACCATATTTCTAATTCGCTCATTCTCTTAATCCAAAAAAGGTCATGGTTATAAAACATAATTATAACCCGTCTGTTCATATTATTATATAATATAAATATTTACTAATTTTGAAATAATTTTTATTTTAATATCTTGCATGTTTTGATAACCTAACCCACATAATACCACAATTATAAAAAAAAACCTAACTCGTCCCATCAAATTATTATATAATATTAATATTTATCACTTTTTCAATATGTAAAATTTTAGTCTATTGAATATGAATTGAAAAATACAATAAATTTTCGTTAATCATATGTATTATTCTGAAAATAATATTTAAATTTCAAATGTTAAATTAAATCTAACCTATATTTAATTTAAAATTAATATCTATTTTCAGAATTAAATTCAATTACAAAAAAATAAATAGTTTGAATTTTAAATTAAATATAACCTACATTTAAGGAAATGTATATTTATCTAAATTTATGTCTAATTTAAATAAATTTATACATAAAAGAATATGTGTTTTTAAAAATAATATTGCAATAAATTAGGATAATTTTGAAATTGTTTCCAAACAATTTTTTTAAAAAAGTTTTACGAGTGTTTAGAAGCAAGCACTAAAATTGTTTCTGTTTTAATAGAATAGATGAATTCAAAATGTAATTTACAATAAACTAGGTGATTATCTGCACCATGTGCGGAGTAAGTATTAACCAAAACGATCTGATGGAGGACGAGAATTTTGTGGTGGCTGACCCTATGGAAACAAATGAAACCATCGATGGAATCGCAGATGAGGACGAGTGGATGGATGATGTAGATCTGTTTGACGAAGGAGAGATGGAAGAGCTGCTAAAAGGAGATGACCTCCTCGGGGAGGACTTGTTGACTGCAGAGGAGAAGACTCTGGAGGTGATCAAAGAGGAGGGAACGCGGGATTCGCCGGTGGTGACAACTGAAGAGGCCGTGCAGAAATCGACCCCATCTTGGTGGAGAAGCCCAGAAAAGGAGGAGGTAGACCAAGCGTCCGCCGCTGATATCGGAAAAACGGGCAAGACCGCCGGGAAGAAGAAGCCACCACCGAGATCTCTGGCACCGATGGGAGTTTCCCTGAAGAAAAGGAGCTTTGTTAAAAATTGGGCCTCACTAAAATCTAAGGGAAGACGAAAAAGCTCTAATTCGGGCCCAGACCCAAGAGAAGAGAAGAATGATAAGCCCAAATGTGAAAAGATTCCAAAGGCCCAGAAACAAAAAGGCCCTCTTTCAGATGGTGTGGGTGGAGCCCAGAAACCATCAAACGGATCGAAATGAATGTGATTGGATGGAATTGCCAGGGTGCGGGAGCCGACCTGACGAAGGAACACTTAGAAGAATTACATGCTTGTTTTTTTCCTCGCTTTTTATTTTTATCGGAAACTAAGAACAATCGTTTTTTTTATGCAAGATATACAAATGTATTTTGGCTATGATCAGGTTTGTACCGTTGAACCGAGAGGTCGAAGTGACGGTCTAGCTCTTTTTTTATAGGGATGAACCCTCGGTTTCTATTTCTTATTCGGATGAGCATTTGATTGATATTGAAACTACTCTAGACAGACATAAAAATTTTAGGACTTTCGTCTACGGAGATCTGATTGTAAAAAATCGAGAACTAGTTTGGGAACGCCTCACCCGGATGAGCCTGTCTTAAAAAGAAGCATGTTTATGATTGGGGATTTCAATGAAATTACAGGGAACCATGAGAAGCGGGGTGGTAGGAGAAGACCTGAGAGATCCTCTATTTCATTCCGGAAAATGCTTGATTTCCCTTATAAAGGAAACTCTTTCTCCTGGATTGGAAGAAGACGGTCGGGCAAAGTAAAATGCCGCCTTAACAGAGCTCTTGGAAATGAAGAATGGATGTCTATATTTTCCCACTCTTCTGTGGAGTACATGAAACTGTGGGGCTCAGATCATCGGCCAGTCCCCGCTATGATCAAAATTGATAACATAAAGAAGAAAAAATCTTTTCGATTTGATAAAAGATGGATCGGAAAGCCAGGATTCAAAGAGACAGTCATT